CCTCGCCGGGCTGCAGGGCTCCCGGCCCCCCGACGCCTGCCGGGGCTATGCGCCTGACGAGGTCGCTCCTCACCGGATCAGACGCTGGCATCTCTTTCCTGCCTTGTTGATACTCGCTGTCTGCGTATACGCAGCAAGTGGATCTCCCTCTCAGCCTCTCTTCTGTTGGGTTAAACCCCTAACGTTTCTCTAGAATCGGTTAAAACCTCGAAGTTTCTCTAGACTCCACCTCTGAGATGAAGACCTCCCTGTTTTCTTACCAGAACGTGGTTTCTTACCAGCACAGGGACGCCGTGACTTCAGGTAAACACCGGCTGCAGATGCAAGCCGGTGCTCGTCAAATGGGAAATGCGGCAATTATATCCAAGGGTGCCTTTTATATCGGATGCTCTCAAAACTTATTAAAGATAGACGGACCGGAAGGCCAGAACTCTTTTTAAAACATGCGCCTGTACTAAAGTAACATGGGTGAGGTGGGTTTTTTTGGTTTTAGTGTCTGGTGCAGGCCTGAAGCCCTCTCATAGCAGGCCTGAAGCCCTCTCATCAGCTGAGAAAACATTTCTAGGTAAAGGAGAGGAGAGCAGCCGCCTCCCGTTCGGCTGGCACGCAATCCCTCAGAAACCCTTTCTCAAGAAGCAAAGCCCGAAACGTGACGTGTTCCTGAGAGAAGGGCGGGAGCGGCTGCCTGGGCGCTCGCACGGGGACCAGGAAATCTCTGGATCACAGGAACGCGCTCCTTCCTCTCCCCCGCCTTCTCTGCCACCCGCGCTCTCCCTCGGTAAAAGCAGCACCTCTGTTTTTAAAAATCAAGTTCACTATTTATATCAAATGGACTTTTGTCCGAGACGGTGAAGGTCATGCCTGGGATGTAAACGGCCCTTCATTTTGCAAAAGACAAAACTTAAAAATGAAAAAAACAGACCCTCCCGCGCGAATCAAACCAGAGAAAGACTTGTTACGTTAAAGATTTTATTGCTACGTGCTCCCCAATACAACAAACAGTATCAGTAGTGTACACTTTATAGAAAGAGAAATTAGCTTGGTAGAAAAGAAATCAAAAAGGTACAAGGATTATCTACACCCACATTGCATATATGTAAAAGATAAAGAGAGAGAAAAGAGAATTTGACTTTTGGGGAATTTTAAAGAAACAAACACACCCCATTTGTCTGTTTGAGGCTCAGGGATTGTCTGTACAATCTGTTTAGTACTAATTTCTTGGACCTTCAAAAGCCTTGCAGAAAGGTAGCAGCAATTCTTTAGAGGTGTGGAGTCAATACTTCCGTGGGTTAGATGACACGCATCGCGATGCAAGAGGCGCCTTGCATCGTGTGGCCCTATGCTTCCCCGAACGGGATTACCCTACCTACATCCTCGTTTACTTTAGAAGTCTCCTGACAACAATTTTCATCCTTATTTCTTCCTAGTGATTCCGCATCATCGCTACAGATGTTTCTAGAATTTCATCTTCGGGGTCCTAATCTACTTTATAGCCTTTTAGAGGTACATACTCACTTCTTTTAAATGGGTCGATCAGGAGGGCTTTTTTACCGGGAAGCAAAAATTGCACGTGAAACTTTAATAACCTATTTAGAAATTAAAGACGCCTGTAATAAAAAACTGTCGTAAGACTTTTTTTTAAAGAATAAGGTCAACAATTTCTCTACAGTAGTTTAGTTAGCTTAGATTTCTGTTCTATTCATATGACATAGCATGTACAGGTATCTAATTACATCTCTCTATTTTATCTTGACAAAAAGAATAGTCAACTGCCCTTAGTGTAAATATTTAGTACATAAAATACTATCAAGAAATCAACTTTTAATAAATATCTTTAGTTCTCAATCCTATATACATACTTTACAGCAACACACAGGAGAGAGTGCGATTGCGTGGACTGTGAACAAGATGGTTATTGACATAAATTACTAGTACATTATTGCAGTCAGATGCATTGTGGTTGTGGAGATTTTGAGGTGAACCATGCTGAAAAATAAATACCTCTCTCACCTTTAATTCAATGCTTCCAGTAGGAGAAAAAAAAAATCTATTTTAAGTCTTGCCACAGCTATTTCTTGTTAGCGCCTATCCTACCTCCGTGATGCCTTTTCAGCTTCAGCAATAACAAACAGATCACCTGGAAAGCAGAACTCATTTCTGACTCGTGAACATTACAGTACTTACAGTATATACACGGTTTCCTACACTGGTCTGACCTCTTCGGCAAAATGAGCCTGAAGGGACGGCACCGCTACTCCTCAGCTGAAGCGACGCCTGCTCCGCGTCCCTGTCACGGGCACGTCACGTCATCTTTCCGACCTGGGACTGGAATTACACTAAAGTTTCTCAACCTGCTGTTAATGGGCGGGTGGCTATAGGTAGACTCATACCTTTAGGTTTACGCTTTTTTTTTCCCGATTTCAAAAGAAAGCATCACATTGCTGATACTCAAAAAAACCCCTTTCCTAGTGTCAGTAGATGTAATTCATATGGAAACGGAACTCCTCCTTTTATGATAATGCTGCTTTAAAAATCAACTCTTGGAATGTAAATAAGGCAGTACTCAATGGCAGGCACCTAGCAATTGTCCAGAACGCAACATAGGTAAACAGTTGTCTGACAGCACAAAACTCTTAAAAATAATACTGATTTCCTGCAATATACAGTATTTACACAACAGCTGCAAATTTGCTCATACAATATCCACTTATATAGATAAATTAGCAAAATAAGTCCTACGGATTCGGTCGTTGCACTGCAAAAGTATTCTGTATAGTGTAAACATTTGGTACCTCTTGTAGTGGGGCGTTTTCTACATGTGAGTGTTTAAAACCAAAAATAATGAGGTGAGTGCTGAGGACAGGGCCACTTTTCTGTACTAGAGCTTGACTGATGCCCTCAGCAACTCCTGCTCACTGTTAGGAGTATTCTTTGGTGCTTTCCTCCAATGCGTTCAAGCTAGCCAGGGAACGCAGTATGGGAGGAGGACGGGAGCAACTAGAAAGTGAACCAGCACTTCTTGTTCTTTGTATTTACAAGGAAAATGAGTTGATGACCTGCAGTGTCCTGCTTGTGGAAAGCAGCATGCACCATAGTGTCCAGAAGGAAGGAAATTAGACCCAGAGCGCCAAATGAAGCCTCTTTCAACGGCTATCCTCCACAAGGCATTCACGTTCATCTTTCCACAGCGGAGGACCTCGAAGGCCATCTCTGCTCAACGTCCTTCTCGCTCTTCCTTGAGGTTCTCGATGGAGAAGGAGCGCCCGCTGTGGTGTTACTGGCAGGGGCCTACGAGGACTGAGACTGCTGCTGTTGGCAGGCGACTGGTGCAGCAAAGCAAACAGCCTAGAAGTCTTCCTTGCCTGAGGAGCTCTCCGCTGCGGAAATTCAGCACCTTTGGGCTTGGCGTTGGACGGGGAGACGTGCGTATCTGCGTCCTCTTCTGCGAAAGCAGGCCTGCCCAGAGAACTTCTCCCAGGCAGGAACTGCGCGTAGCGGGGCACCGCAGGCGTCGGCATCATCAAAGCTCGAGGCAGATCGCTCTGATCAAACATCACCTCCTCTTCAGTTTCAGCAGCTTGGGTAAGGAAGGGGGGTGGGAGGGTGCTGCTGCGCTTGCTGCAGGACTCGCAGCACAGCTTGTTGTAGCCAGGGATGGAACAGTAACGTGCAAGCACTTCCATTTGACAGAAGATAGATTTGTCTCCCGTACACGGCTCATCTGCAAAACAAATGTAATGATGATTGTAATCCCAGTGAAGAGCACTGAAATGCCCGGACAGCATTTAGATGGGCGCTGACAAAGTTCTGCCTCTGTTTCATAAACGATGGGCTACTCTGAATAGGCAACCCGAGATGCTTCACCCCCTGACAGAACTCACGCCACCCTAAAAAATAACCCCGGCTGGGAACCAAACACATTGGCGGTCACTTTTAAAACATCAGCTTCTGTGCACACCAGAAGCGAAGAGTTGCGGAAAGAAATATTATATTTGCGGAGGGCCACAGACAACAATTTCCAGAGCTAACCTACTAGAGCTCCCGCATACCAGGCCAGAGGTAGTTCTACCCACCCCAAATCGCCTTCACTTCTAGCCTGAGGACGTCATCTATCAACAGCATTAAAAACAATGAGATCTCCCCTTAAAGAAATTAAATCCCAAGCAGTATCTCTCAAAGATATATGATGTCTTAAAATAAAATGTCATAGCCGGATAAAGTTTTGTTTGGATAAAGTCTGAGTTTTTCACTGACCGAACCGTAACTGGAGAACCGATGGAAAGCTTTTAACAGACAGGTCAGACATAAGATGCCTTGAAGTTAAGCGTGGGGCATCCCTTTCAGTCAGGGAAAAGATCTTGAAGAGGTCAAAGATCTATTAGAGATCCCCAAAACGTCAGTGTTTCTTTGAGCATTTGCTGGATGTTCCACAAATAGAGATGCAGCGGTTGCGTTGGACAAAACTGGTAGAGCGGAAAGCAGCAACGCAAGAAGTCAGAAGGAAAATAAGGCTTTGATGTTGAGCTAAGAGCACATCAGCGCATCAGTGCTCGGGCTCCTTCGAACTGCCACATGAGCCCAAAGGTGAAGTCCTAAGTTTCACTGTTACCAGGACTGGGACAAACACTGGGGGTTTGTAACGCTCGTGAGTGGGTGGCACGGTTGAGATTTTCCGTTCTTAATCTTGCAGCCTGTTGCACTGACTATGTCGAGCTCCAAGCTCCTTGGGAAGCGTGGCATTCTGGGTGGCAATGTGAGTTTAAATTAAAACTTCACTTTCATTTCACAGAAAAAGTCAACTTCTCAGTTAGTACCTGAGCAGAGCTGCGTCAAGGCACAGAAGAAGATGGGAGGTTGGCTCTGGGCATTTGAAATGAGCTGCACTATTCGCAGATTTTAAAATGAGGAGATTGACTGCTTCCTGATTATTCTCCTCCCGGCGTCTAACTCACCCTACCGCTCATCTAGACTGTTACTGCTCTGGGTAGCTGGAGCATCGCGTGCCTTGGCAGCATGAACACCCAACAGAGGCACGCAGGAAGGCACCTCGGAAGGTCACCTCGCCCAGCCCTGCAGCAGGGTCAACGCTATTGAGAAGAGCATCTTGCTATTTTAAAGTCAAGGCGTCTGTAGGCGGAGAGGGGTCATTACCTTCCCACAGACATCTACAGGGACCCTCCAAACAGACCCTGCGTTTCAGTGTCGTGTTCCAGCCCAACCTGTCTCTCTCCCACGGAGGACTCAGCCCCGCGACTGGGACTCTTGAGAAACGCGGGGCATCTGTGTCTCCCCGCCGTCTCCTAAAAGGGGTGCTAGGGCCCTGACAGCACTCCCGATCAGACCAGGAACCTACAAACATCTAACGCTTCACAGGACAGAAGAACAGCAATGGGGACAAATGAGTAGCTCGGTGTAACTATTCAAACGCTTTGGGGAGAGGCCAGCAAAAAGTTTCCATTAGCAGAATTTTCCTAAGATATCGGGGCTGGCTTGAAATGGTGTTGATGGACTTTACTTAAAATAGAAGTATGCAAAATTATAATGTGAAAAGCCAAAAGTTAACCCCAGGTATTGAGAAGATCTGCTCCACGTCTAGTCCTCCGTTCATAGTCAGCAATTATGCAGTCAACATTTTAGTGAGCAACAGATGGCATGTAGCACCACTTATTAAGCTCTGAAATTAAATTAGCTTTCTGTACTGTGGTATTTTTTCACCTGTGTACAGATGCTGCCTCACCACATGTCAACAGTATGTTAGGCAACCAAGTTCTCCTATTTTAAAATATTAACTGTAGCCCAACCTCTCGATCAGTGTAAATCAGCTTAATTCCACTGAACTCAGTAAAATTACACACACGTACGTCAGTGGGGTTGTGGGACGCTGTTTATAAATAGCAAATTATATGACTGTGGCATGTCATACAAAAATTTTCCTTGCTCCTAATCCCAACGTGCTTCCTTGGACAGATGTTTGTTGGTTCTTGACAAACCCAGCATTAAATCTGCAGCTTTGCATGGGAATATACGTACTCCATGAAGGCACTATAAGACTATTTTCATAATTCATCTAAACTAGAAAAGCTAATATTGAAACACAAATCTTTGCATCATATATAGAACAATCTTTATGCTTCCGTGTAAATGAAAGCACCTGATGGGGAAAATTATGGCAGTCATCTTGTTAACACACTGTGCTTTATGTCAGTATGTGAGTCAAAGCAAATAGCATCACCTAAAGTGACAAAGTACCAAACAATTATTTTTGCCTTTCCATAGTGACAATGCATCTTATTTGGTCCTTGTCTCTCACGGTTAACTGTTGTGGTATCGGTTTGTGATGGTTTAGATTTCGTGACTCAAGTGATAGTGCAAAGATTTGGTTTTGTACTTATCTACTTTCAGTAGGTTCCGTAAGTACAGTCTTGGAGCTGTATACTCACATAATCCCTTTTTTTTATTTTTTAGGTTAATTCTGCACAACCTAGTCAACCATTTCCTATTCAGTATGTAAGTGCTTGTACCCTTCCGCTGATGTTCACGGTAAAAATCCTCCTTCTCACAATTTGATACTTGCTTCATGGTAACTAAGAGCAGAAGACACAAGAAAGCGTATCGGCGCTCTCGGGAATCTTTAGAGGATGAAACTAGTAGAATATAATTTACATCAACTAAAAAATGTTCACATTAGATTTTAGAATTGACACAGCTCTTACAGAAGGCATCACTCTAACTCTAAGTACATTGCTTGCTGACAGCATCCTGTTGAGAAATCTCACTGAAAGTTGGTATTTAGGGACTAAAATTTAAAACGCCACGTGCTTTCTTCTTCATTCTGTATCTGGTGTTGCAAAGCAGGAGTAGTTCATATAAAGACTTTTCAAGGATCTGTTCTATACAGATTCTTACGTGGAGCTCATCTGTTTGTCTAAGCACCTTCTAATCTGGCACAGCCACAGAAACATGACTGCCGCTCAGATTATTGCTACGGACCTGCAGGATAAAATCCTGCCTCCTGTTTCCTTCTAAGCCCAGAGACATATAAAGTTGAAGTGAAACGCCTATGGGAGGTGTCCTCATTTTTCCGCACTACGAGACTGAGCTCCATCGAGGCGTATGGTGGAAGAGCTGGTGGCTCTTCTCCCGTATGCAGACATATGTTTTTTCATGAAATAGAAGAGAAATGCTAATATGTCCCATGGCACAAAAGAAATCACACTAACTGCGGCAAATGTTCATGACAACTCCATTAAGATTAAACTCTCAGCAATCTTGCATGCAGGTGGTAAATCATTTGTCAAAACCACCTGACACAGAATCACAGAACAGTTTGGGTTGGAAGGGACCTTTAAAGGTCATCTCGTCCAACCCCCCTGCCGTGGGCAGGGACATCTTTAACTCCATCAGGTTGCTCAGAGCCCCGTCCAACCCGACCTTGAATGTTCCCAGGGATGGGGCATCTACCACCTCTCTGGGCAACCCGTGCCAGTGCCTCACCACCCTCATCGTAAAAAATTTCTTCCTTAGATCTAGTCTGAATCTACCCTCTTGTAGTTTAAAATCATTCCCCTTGTCCTGTCGCAACAGGCCCTGCTAAAAAGTCTGTCCCCATCTTTCTTATAAGCCCCCTTTAAGTACTGAAAGGCTGCAGTAAGGTCTCCCCGGAGCCTCCTCTTCTCCAGGCTGAACAACCCCAACTCCCTCAGCCTTTCCTCATAGGAGAGGCGTTCCACCCCCCTGATCATTTTCGTGGCCTATAGATTGATGTTTTGCTAAGTCTAAAGCCCTGAAAATCAAAATAGTAATCAAGGCTATACAGATTTAGAAGTAAAGGAATGCCACGCGTGACCATGCATGAAGTGTTTATCCACACAAATATTACAGAATACTATCGATATTTTAGCTGTACTCCCCCAAAACACAGAACGGGGTAGAAACCACATCAGGAAAGCGTGGTGAAGAAGAGAGAGTATTTGGTCTGAAAGAATACTGCCAGCTACCTACTGCTTGGTATAAGTTATGGCCCAAGCCCCTGAGCAGCGCAGAGAGGTCTGAGCTGGAGGAGGGGAGGCGGGTGTAGCGTGGCCGAGGAGCAGAGCCCCCGGGGACCCCGTGGTTTTGTCAAAGGTACGAGGGGCTTGGCTGGATGCAGCTGCCCAGGCCCTCGGGGCTCACAGCGTTTTCATAAAGCTCAGCTCCTGGTATAGGTTTGCTGCATCAAGGCCAGATGTGTCAGTGGCCATTAGGTCACGGTTTTTTAACAGCTGTTGCGATGCTTTAGGAAAGGCACCTAGGGTTTCAGAACCCTACATGTGACCCCAGAAATCCCTCATTCACGGGGGCATGCGAGATGGGGTGCATATTAAACATCAAAATAAAAATGCGTATTAAACATCGTAATAAAAATACAGCCAGTATTAACCCATGTGATTCAACTGCAATTTGTAAAGAGCCTATACACAGCCATCTATTGCTTATATCCCATGTAAGTGGCTCCTAGGTCTTATAGGTCAGTGGCACCTGGCTCTGAGTATTACTTATGGCGAGAGAGACGTAGTACTCTCACAGGGAGAAAAAAGATTGCGTGCTGCTTAATTTTGAAAGGTAGGAATTTAACACTGGCTATTCAAGAAAATCCCAACTGATGCTTAAAGTACGGATTCTTTAAGGTGATGCTTAAAGCATGAGATCAAAACTATGTGAACAGTTTTGCGAAGACGTAGCCCTTAAATTTCTTTCAGTTTTGGGAACATTTTTATCATCAGTGGAAAACAGGATTTTAAATCGTGTACTTGTTTATAGAGTCACAGACAGTGATTTGCTCCCACCTAGCGGATACAACGTTTTATAACTCCTCATTGCTCCCAGAATTGTTTTCTGCTCCGAGATCTTTCACTGGCAGAAGACAAGTAAGAGCAAAAGCAGACACCTTTACCAGACTTGGGGGAAGCAGTTAGACTCACTCTGTGGGAAAACACCCTGCGCCTTCTAAGAACTCTTATTCTATTTTTTCTAGCAGCTAGTGATCAGAGTGTTAGGACTACCGTGGGGGATTGAAAAAACAAAAAAACCCCAAATCTTAGAGAGTCACGGACCCAAAGGAAGAAAGGCTTTGTTGCCATAAAAAGCTTAAAAATCTGTTCAAAAAATTCTATGAGAACAATGTAATGACATTCCCAAGAACCTTATTAATGCTCTGTGGTTCCTTTTTTTTTTTTCCCCCTCATTTCCTCAATTGGCAGGCTTGTAAAACTTCTCCTTGGACTTAGAGGTCGAGCAGGGTTTACTTTGGATTGACCTTCACCTCTAGCACAAATTTTTGCAAATGCAACTTAGGTTAACATGTTTAACCCCCTATTTCAGCATGTTTACAAGAGAGACCCTGGTGTGCGAGAAGCACCCATCACCTGGAGCTACGATACCAATAATGCGCTGGACAAAACAACAGGGCGCCTTTAGCTGGCAAAAAGCAAGAGCATCTCCAAGGGAGGGTGCATTTTCTAGCGTGCAAGAGATGAACGGTGTCGTGTGGCTATCACCTGACAGTGCCATACCTTTAACATAGAGTACGGTACAAGTTTGCTGCGCACACTACCTGTTCATAAGCACAGGCTCTGCCTGGTCTTTGAAACCTGTACGCATTGGCGCAGAAAGTTCACAGAAAGTTTGGCTTTTATTTAGACCTAAATATAGGTCTTTTATTTTTCAGTGGGGTTCACGCAAGGATGAAATCTGTGTCTGACATCTCTGCCCAGCACTGTGCGATCTAGACAGGCTGCACTGAGGCAGGAATCGTTACCCTCATCTACTGCAGTCGTTTCAAGATGTTCTCTTACCATTACAGGGAGCGAGTTTACAAACCCTCACTGATTCTGGCTTTTCTCCATCGCACTGGTCACCGGCACGGCACGTGATCTGCCGGGTCTCGGTTCCCTTCCCGCAGGTCACAGAACACTGTGAAACGGACACAAGACAACTCAGGACATTCAGCTTTCACAGCAACGTGCTAAAATTAATGTGCCTAAAATAGCCCAAGGTTGGCTTTCAGGTCAGGCTATACATTCCAGCGATTTGTTTTGAAAGTAGACTTCAGTGAAGGCTGACGCCATGGAGAAATACGCAGAGGAGAAGGATGGTATTTTCCTTGGTTCTTGCCTTCTGTAATGTTACATTTATTATTAGAGCATATTATGAATTTTGCCACTTATTCCTCCTGTAGCCGATACCTGATCTTCACAACGTAACATAAAGAGACTACAAAGGGCAGAGAAAACTCAGCGTTCAGTGAGTTAGCTGCAGGGTTCAGCTGTTTGTTCCTAAGTCATTATAGCAACACCAACACTTGCTCTGTGGTTCCAAACCAGCCCAAGTTGGTAAAAAATGTTATGCTATCCTCGGACGCGGGGAAGTGAGCAGTTGGAAACTTGGAGAAAAACAAGCAAAATCTCAACATCTGTTTTGCAGGATCGTGTATCTGATATTGTGAACATTTTCCTTGCTGGTTGCTGGAGAAGTCTGGAGAGCTGGAGAAGCCCGTGAAGCCGGAAGGCATTATCTGCTCGGATTTTCAGGTTTTGGAAAACTGAGATGTTAGCAAAGGTACGTTAGTCACTCAGGACCGCTGCTTGCCTACCTCAGACCAGGGCCCAGCTTTCCACTGCGCGGGGCACGGCACTCGGTTGCACGGCCGGCGGCTCTCGGGGCGATCTCCACCGCAGTACTTGAAATGGACGGAGCGGTTTGCACCGTCGTGAAGGGGCTGAATGCAACGCACGGTACGGATCTGGTAGCCTGAATTCCCGCAGGTTTTTGTGCAGTATTCCCACTCATCTGCTGCCCAGCTGGGAAGTAAAAAGGAATAAGATACTATCACAACTTTTACGTATTATCCACACTGCTGCCAGGTCAGGCAGCCCTCAGTATACAGTATTTCTGTGACGAAACCACTCAATAAGATCAGTAACCGTTCTTACACAGGCAGAAAAAACCGTCCGTAACACAAGCACTCCAGCCTGGGAAGCTGTCAGCATCCCTCCAAATTTGGCTGGGGTTAACTTCCACACCTACCACAGGAGCAATCATTTATGTCTTTATGCGAGACATACTTACAGCGGCTGGGTGCATTCCTGAAGATTGCACATTCTACGAATGGGCTTTGGCTTTTTGCTGGCTTCACAGAAGCTGCGATGAACCATTTTGTTATCGCTTTTCCTGCGGCACCCGTATTTGGTGTACTGGAACCCTGGAAAATATTTCAGAAAAATCAGGAAAAACAGGTCCGTGTCAGAATTTTTGGTTTAAATCTAAGTTTTATGGCCTATTACATGACAGATATTTACGAAGTATTTAAACATAAAATGTAAACAATTTGGTTCAGTTGTCAGGCACAAGTTTGCTGCACAGCGCCCCGTGGATGCTATTTATCACAGGACACTGTGATAGGTTTTTAAGGCCAGAAGGGACAGTTATGACCCTTAGTCTAACCTCCGCATTACACACAAATCATGGCATAGAGAGGGGGGAAATTACCTCCTTAACACCAAGCAGCAGGTCACCGGCTAACCTGGGAATGAACCCAAGTCTCCTTTCAGTGTTCTTGCTACCAGAACACATCGCCTGCTCCACTGCTGTGTGTAAGAGTTAAAGGTATTTTGACGTTTGCATTCCCCGATCTTTGTGTAAGAGTAATGTACGTACCGTCAGCGAAGTGAACGCGCAGTAGCATAAATGTCTGAGTCTGTACTTCCAAGTGGCTTTGGGTACTGAGTTTAAACACCTAAAAAGGACTTTTTCTTTCTCGGCTGGGAGTGCGACACTTTTGAATAATCAGGCACTTAGGATATTTTAAGCTTGGGCACCCAAAATAACAAACTGTTTTTAAAAAAGGGCAGGCCCAGATTTCTAAAGCATTCACTTCCCCCACCTTTCACCTCTCCACTTTTAGTAATTTGTCATTCACTACCAGAAGGTGCTACATCATCCGTTTACCTCCACCGCAGGGTTTGGAGCACTGCGACCAACTCTTTAACGCCCACTCGAAAGTATCTATTTCTTCCTGTAGGACGTTGTTGCTGTTGATAGTTGGTACCGAATCCTCGTGAATGATGTATTTGTAAGTCAGGCTAGATCTTGTGTCATTCTCCCGAGGAATAATCTATTAATAATCAAATGTAAACAGTGGTACAAAATCAGAGCCATCATTTTTTCCTTTCAAAATAAAGAAACCAAGGCCTGGCTCTTCGGGGAAACATGGAAACTGCTAATTAACTCATTGGGAAAAAAACCTGGTTTTTGTCTTCACAGTTAGAACTAACAATAGTAAGATCAACAGAGAGCCACTTAAAATACATTTCTAGGCTAGCATTCTAAGCTGGCCAAGTAGGACACCATCACCTAGGATGAAAGGATGGTGGGGCCACATCATTCACTCGGCTAAAGAGTAGGGCTGGTCTCAGACATGGTTTGACACGCAATGCCCTTTCTTGGCCCACTGAAAATGTCCCACTGGTGTCCGACAAGGCAATACTGGGCTTCTGATCGACATATTACCGCTGCACAAACAGGCAGCAGTTTACAAGAGAGGGTAACAGCTAATGAGAAAAGGGCTTCAAGCTATCAGCCGTCTCATCGGCACGTGTCTTTCAGCGAGGCGTCACACAGCAGTGTTTAATCTGCGCACAAGCTCCGCGCTGGCCGTGCACTGTTTATAAAAGACAAACCCACCACGTTCCCACTGCTTGACGTGTAACCTACCAGCACAACCACCGCATCGTGCAAGGGCCCGTCAGTGTGGAGAGTTTCTATGTCGTCTTCTATGTTGTACTCCCACTCCACGCCCAGGTCGATGAAAGATCGGGATCTGGCCTCCTCCCCTTTCCCATTCAGAATATAGTGTCCTGTAGCCTGGTTCTTAATTGCTAGAAGGATTGAAAACAGTGCCAGTTGTGCCTCCCATACGGTCAGCTATCGTGGTGGCTTATGTGAAACTTGACGGGAGATATCACAGAAGGCCTTCCGCAAAAAAACCCAACACGCTAGCAAGTGCTATAGATGCACTGGCCCTTCAAGGCCATCTCACGCAGCCTCCAAATTCCAGTTTGATGATAGATGCGTTCGCGTATTTGCTTCAGTTTTGTACCTCCTAATCCACGTGAATTAGATATAGAACTAGAGATAGACTGAAGCACCTCTTCCTATGTAATGCGCACACTTCCCATGCTAGCTTAGCTCCCAAGGAGCACGGGTAGTAGCAAGGAACTCGGGTCAAATCTTCAGAATCACCCGTCTTCTGCATTTGCGTAAGACCAAAAGCAGTATTACTGGGAATGCCTGTTAGTATAACAGATAGCCCAGCAGACTTTAAGTGCATTCCTTATATTCCTCAGATTATGAAAATGACAACTTTTTCATCGCACTTTAGTTGCTTTTGCGTACGTATGTATGTACCAGCTGCTAAAATCAGGAACCAAAGAGCTGAGGCCTTTGAACCCCTGGGAAACGACCTGGTTTTGGGTTCCTGCACCGCACCTTGAAAGTCACGCAGTGTGGGGATTATTATTATTATTATTATTACGTTCCAATTGGAAGCCAATACATTAGAAATCTGAAAGATGGACTCTCGTTTTTTCTTTTGTACAACTTTTTCCAACGCACCATAAAACATGATAAAAAGCCATGCAGAAATCTTACAAGCTCCTGCGATTACAGTAATCCAAGCGCAGGAGCTCTGCAGTACCCAGTGAGTAGCTTCGGGAAGCTGCCGGCTGCCGAAGCAAAGCTATGCTTCTCTGGAAGTAACTACCAGGCTGTGCTTGGTCCAGAACGAAGCTCTTGGACCTCAAAAGGCAAGTTTCCCCCTTTGACATTATCACAGTTGAAACAATTTCTTCTATCTTTCTTTTATTTTCTATTCCTAATTCTTTTTAGAAACTAATGTAACTCTGCTTGAAGGGTTTACAACTCAGACATTGCCCTAGCACGTGAGGAGCTGATTAAAAGGCCGTTAAAATCCATGGAAGACCTCACCCCGCTCCCGTGAGCTAAAAATCCCTTAAGCGTTAGAAAATGGTAAGCAGTAAGATACAAACTGACTGACAGCAGTATGAACTGTCCTACGTGAGAAAAATCTGAAATGAAATGGACTGTAAATATATCCCAAGTTCCCCAATCTTCTTTCATTAAAAAAGCTGTTGCTTACAATCTGCAGCAAATAAGAATAATTAAAGGTACTGAATTTGATTCACATAATAGGATACATAGTTTTCACCCTGGCAGTGCCCGTTTAAATGTGAGTGATGACAATCTTTTGTTAGTAAACATGCAAATTAGGATCAGCTTAATATTTTGAAGAATTCAAATGAGAAGTAAACACTTGTTTGCTGAGCTTATGCTGTAGGACTCAGTCCTTAGCATGCAATTTTGAATGCACGTATTTACCCTCAACACTTGAATTTGGTTAGCTCATTTCTCAGGTTCTCTGCGTGACTGCCCCGTGCTTCTCATCATGCCTCAACGCCAAACCTGAGGAGAGAAACACTTACCAAGAAAGTGAGGAGAAGCCTCGTCTTCTTGGATAAACACATGTCGAGCACCAGGAGGGATATCAAACATCTTAAGGTACCCTTTGGCATGTGTAGTAGTCAATGGAGGAAGCAGAGATGGAAAGAAAAAGTAATAGCCATGGTTAGGAGCGCACTACACGATCCAGCTCCTACTTGCAGGAGAGCGCATCCATCATCAACTGAGAAGCAGTGTCAGAAAGAAACGGAGCAAATAGTTTTGTAACGTATTTGACAGGATCTCCTTGTGTTCTCCCTCTTTGAGAGAGAAAATGAATCAGTTACAAATCTATTTGTCACCGCTATAGGTCGTACCAATTAACAATTCAGGCAAAATATGTTTCCTATGTTCCTCAGGATCCGAGGGGGAAAACCACAAGTCTTCCTGATTATTTTTCTCAAATCACTCATCAGCCAGGCTGTTAGATTTGAGTTTACTTGCTGTCATGTTACAGGTTCATGTCTCAAGCGTGTCTTCTTACTTCTGAGACATCAAAGCCTGGAGAAAGGTGGGCATAGTACAGAGTGTATTGTTGCTACACATCAGAAAAGGCTTGTCTGTATGGAAGTTGACCCAAGCTAACAACACCATGAATGCAAAATGCACGACTTGAATTGCTGCTGCTTAAGTGAAAGGGCTGAGTTCAACTCTCTGCAGCTAAAAGTAAAAAGCTGTTCCCAAAGCAAATTGTTCTTATTTTAAATTTCAATTATTTATCAGCCCAAACCACAGGCAGTTAGTGTAACGTTAAGTAAGTATTGTCATTAGGAAGACTAAAATCCCTTCTAGGGACCTGTCAACAGGTACTGCTAAATCAAGTTTTGATCAAGAGCATCATAAGCGCTCGGAGTGCATGGTATTTTCATATTTCTATTCTTTTCTCTTCAACAACTGCGGATTAATTACGATAAGTCTCTGTAGATCCCTTTTTAAGAGCTGAGTAGGTTTCTCTGTTTTGTACTCTGCTATGCAACCTTCCCGAGCAATCCAGCCCTGCTATAGAAGCAGCGTAGATGTGACAAGAGTTTTGTTATTTGTGCACTGCAAACACAAGATGTAGCATTTAAGTAATTCTGTTCCATCCTGGGGATTCTGGGACCAACGAATGCATTGGTACCTTGTCATGCACCTGGCGTACTACAGCTCCTCGGAAAATCTAAGTGAAGAAAAAGAAGAGCTAGGAATACGTAAAATCACGGTCTTGGCTGATGAGTGACTGCGCAAACAGCATTTGTCAACCTTTTCATTGATCGTCCTTCGAGCATATGAAACATAAAGCTTTTGCCTGACTTGGCGTTATCTGTCAACGTCTGAATGGAGATGAGAACTGCAGGAAGATCTCTCGAGTTGCCACGGATGCCTCTCTCTCTGCAAGCACTCGAAACTTACCCAGCGTATTTTTAGACTCCTTTGTTTCAGAAAGGGAAATATTGCGAGCTCCTTTGGGCAATGTAAACGCTCCTCTTGTCTTCCCTTAAATAGAACGTCTGTAATTAGTGCTATGGGAGCCAAGTCTTGTTATTTCATTGACTATGTAAAGCCAGGTGGTCTTTACAAGTGTAAAGTATAAATTACGTTATGTGTTCAAATGCATTTAAAGCAGAATTAGACACATCTAGCAAATGTTAATAGTCAATGAAAGTCAGACCAGTGAAAATTCAGGTAGGTGATTTTAAGTTGGATACTTGCAGATTTCATTTTCCAGAAACTTGAATTCTTTTTGGCACCTCTTGCTTAAATGTTTTCCTGTTGGAAGAGGTCAATTAGTCTTTTTAATGCCTAGATTGCCAAAGTTACGGTAAAACAGTAAACATTTCATAAACACGTCTACCACTTCCATAAACATTTGCAAATAAGCGGCTGATCAACAGCGGACTTCCCCGACCTATCTCCTAGCACCGTCTGTCACTTTGCATTGTCCTGCTTTCCAGACACCGAAAACACTGTGCGGACACTCAATCGCACGCCGTCACCCCGGCAGACAACGCGGCGGCTCTCAGCGGCCCACCGGCAGAAATGCCGAGCCGGAACGCGATGGGGTCAGTAGCCTGTTTTGGCCTCTGCTGGCCTCTCATTTGCCCTGTTAATCTCCCAGGCAGTAAGCCAAACCGCAGGCTTAGGCAGTGCGTGGACTGTGAGCTAGGAGCTGCCAACCATTGGTATGGCCAACAGAAACCAGACTCCTTAGAGAAAGCTCTTACTGGACTGGATTCAAAGTTGTGACATGAGTATCTGCTCTGCACCCAAAATTCCAATCATTTTCTTAGTGAAAAAATCAGAAATGCTCTTAGAAGGCTGAGCACTTATGTCTGCTGATGACTTCTTTTTTTTTTTTTTTTTTTTAAGAAAAGGGCAGTAGCTGCCAGCTCCAGAAATACACAGGCTTATATATGAGGCTCAGGTTAGGGTCTTAAATCCATTACTCCCCAAGTTTGAATGATTCTTGCACTATTCCATGTCCAATCCACCAGCCTCCAGGGAACCATCCCTTTCAGAAAGGCAGTCTACTGCAATTTGATAATCACAATCAGTAAACTTTTCCAATTGGTTTGTAATAATTGATAAGTATTTTCAGCAGAATGGTTTATGTACTTTATTTCCAGTCGCACATTAACTTATCTTTGTCCAAGTTCAGTTTGGCTGCTCACTGTCCAAATTTAATTACCAACGCCGCAGTAAACCTTGCGTTGTGGCAGCAATTACCAGTCTCTAAGCTGTTAATGCAGATATTCACATTATCCGTCCCTTAGCCTCTCTCCGCTCTGTATTAAAACACTTAGTTCTATCAGACAGATATTCCCAAGGTAACTGCTCTCAGTCATACAGGAGATAGGCTTCCCTGAGGGCTTTCCCAGACGGAAAAAAAAAAGCAATACAGGAAAGCCTTAAAATAACAAACAGTCACAGCAAAATGTACAAGATAATACTGCCCTGGCTTAACAAATAACTGACGAAATGGAAATTTCTGAAGAAGTCCAAAGAAATCTTCAATTATTATTGATACGAAACGTGCTGCAAAATACCCCAGACCGCAGTCTGAAAATTTTAACCAGATCATTCTTAGTTCTGAGCGAGCAGAACGCTATCATATGTTCCACTGGATCTCAGGCACACAACTTAAAGGATGTGAGAAATGAGGATTCCAGCAAAAACATTTTTATATTTGGGTCAGCATTCAGCTGAATTTATTTTTAATTTGTTTATTTGACGGAAGGGCTGTAATTTGTGAGAAAACATCATAAAAAACCAACTTGACATGAGGATCCATATGCTCATTTCATATGAACAGAAATTCAGACTTCCACTTAAAACTCTTGAGTTTAGGTTTCAGAGGAAAAAATTGTGAAAAGCTTAATCTCTAACGGGAGAAAAAAAATGCTTCCTTTAGTCCTCCTACAGATAGAGGCACGCTACACAGTGTCAGGCAAAGTATCGCGATTTCTTCTGCATTTCACTGTGAGCAGAACATTTCGTTTTTGTTTAACAGAACTCAGTGTGTCCCCACTTATCACAAACATTGGCTGGCTGGGCTTCAACATTTACACAGAAGAACTAAACGTGCTCTGCATGGTGAGTATTTCTTGACACTCTTGACTGATCAAGCTTTCTTCTAATAGGTCCTTCACAGGACAGAAATAGCATGCTGTTTTAAAGACGTCATTTCTTCATCAGGGTCTAAACTGTTTTTGCACATCAGCTGACAACTTGTGTTTTGCTACCTGAAGCTAGGTTGCATTTCTGACCATTCTGCAAAAGCAGTAAGCATGACAGAAACACCAGAGACAACAGAAACTGTATCCAGGTGCATGAAAATGCTATTCCTACCAAGCTTTTTGGGAGTGCGGGTGAAGGTTCCCTTCACAGTTCGGCAGTGAGAGTTATCCCCGCCACAGACGCCACACTTATCTTCAACCTTATTGGAGCCAATTTCCTTGTCACAGCCCACTTTCTGCAGAAGGAAGAGCAAAAAGTAAAAGAGAAGGCTTTGTCATTGGTTGCCAGTTTTCGTTATGGTGGGAAGCCGTCGCAAAATTAGAGGAAACTACCACCCAACACTGATCTATCTTATTTAAACACAAATTACTTGCAAATCTGGTGCTGGATAATGGTTTTCATGTGAGAAATAGGAAGTGATTCTTGCTTTATATTCACTGTACTTCAAGACTAAGAAAGATGGGAAAGACAGAAAAATAAACACAATTCTTTTCAGACGTGAAACTCAGCGTAACCCAGCACAGCTCAAACTCGACGATGACCCTGGGAAGCTGTCACTCACCACGCATTCTCCACGAACACAAATGCTGTAGGGGTCTTTATAGGAACAGCGAGTCCCATCGTGTGCCAGCTGCTTCATATAGGCAACATCTCCGGTTTCTTTAGACTGGCAGTACAGGTGACATCTCTTATTAGCTGTGTAGCAAGGAAAGAGAAGTAACTGCATAAATTAACAGCAATCCAGATGTGTTTCAGAAAAATATCCCACTAAAGGAGTGAAGATAATACAACAGAGACAGAAAGGATCTTTATCAGACAACTGTGGGGGGAAAAAAGCAACTGATTTGCTTATCTGTGAATTATGGGCCTGTCACTTTGAGATATTCTCACAGAAATCAGTTCCCTTCCGAAGAGGCTCCTAGGACTGGGTTCTCGACCATTCTGAAAGCAGCTTTCACTCCGATCCCATTGGGAACAGGGCAGAGTTTACAAAACCACAGGGATGCGGAAAAGTGGCAACAGAAAAATGAGTCTGTGAGAAGACGGTGCTAAAGCCAGGTGAAAAACACAGAGGATTTGGATCTCTAAATTTATCCTTTTTTGCAAACACCAGCCGAACACGTATCTCCTGGTTAATGGCTGAATCTAACTCTACCCCTTACACGGATGTAAGCTCAGGAGACACCTGAGGAAGAAACGCCAGCAACTCTGCAACACCCTTCAGCGAACAAGGAATCTGTCTTTGTGCTTGAAGCTCTCCCTGTCGCTCGAGGTAATGACCGGGATAGATTAATGTTAGTAGCGAAGACTGAGAGAATCAGGCCGAGGCAGATGGGTCTAAAGAGTGGGAAAACACTGAGAAGGACTTCTCAAGTAGTGCCATTAGAAAACCACTCTTAATGCTTTCAGCAGCCGCGATCAAACGTCGACCCTTTGCGCTCAGGTGGACGAACAGCCGTAAGGGGAAAGGGCAGGAAGAGTTTTTCATGACCCAACCAGCAGCTTTCCACACTTTGCCCCAACAGTAGAGAACCAGAGCTCGGCAGCACAGTGCATCAAATGCTGCGAGCACCCACCGACCATTCCGGCAGGAGCTGAGAGCCTCAAGCTACATCATGTTCTCACTGAGAGGAGGATAAAAGTCAGGGAAGCCAGCTTGGCCTAGGGTTGGGGCAATGACGGCTGTCTCGCATGGCACCTGTTCTTTCCTTCGGGGACCATCCTTTTTTCCTGCTTTTTAGTCTCACCCACGCTCGCCCACACACCGATTATTTCTGGTCTCTGCACGGCTGATGAACAAGACCCCCACAAGCTCTGGGAGATTCCAGGGTTGACTTGTCCTAAAGGCAAGTAACAGAACTTACAGTCAGGGTGCTCATACGGCAGCCAGTGGTGCTTGCTGTTCTGATACTCAAAGTGGGAATTGCGTTGCTGACATTGCTGCGCTCTGAAGTCCTCAAAGTGCTTCGGACACTCCTCTGTATTGCAAAGTTGAAACTCAAAATTGACACCAGCACAATCTTCACCTCCATTAATGGGCCTGTGAAAAGAAAACATTCAAGAGATTCTAAAACCCTCTGGACATTAGCTCTGGGGATTTTTCTTCTGTCTTAGGTGAACTTCCACACTTTACTTGAAGAGATGATTTCGCAAAAAAGGCGCACGAAGTGACAGAAATGGAAACAGAGCAGTTACGCTGCAGAGATACACACTTGCAGTACAACCCCAGCGCTGGCCAACACACCCCCAAGGCATATGCTGAGATGCAGAAGTAATACACGTGCACATATATGCTGCCAACCGTCGATTTACAATTAGAGATTATCTAAGTTTATCCTGCAGCTTGCTGAGCTCACACACTATGTACTCTTCACTCTCTTACACATCAGCTAAATCCTTGGGATGGTTTTCCACAGGCTTTCCTCTGGAAACTCCTGGGATCTCCAAAAGTGATCCTGGCTCCCTGCAGAGAGCCGTATTTCAAGGGGCTTGAACAGAATGTGAATTTTGGCAGACTCCATCCAAAACGTAAATGCCATTTTAACTGACACCTATAACGACTCCCAGTTGACTGGAACTACCACCTAGCCAGAAGACCTACATTGGATTGTTGCACTGGCGTGTTCGAAAGCGAACTCCAGTTCCACAGGTTCGTGAGCAGGAGCCAAATTTTGTCCAGGGTCCCCAGTTGCCATCCTGCTTCAGCTGGTTAGCGTTCTTCCACATGCAGTGACCTTTATAGCACCACTGAGAGAAATCGGGCAAGGAAAACAGATGAGAACAGAAACAAAACCCAAAGCAAACGCATAATCGCAGTAAAATTAAAAGCACGCAGAGGTGAGCTCACGGGCTGAGAAGGGACATCTCAGGGAACAGTCTGCAAGCAGAGACTTTCCTGGGGACAAAGGGGTGAGGGTCTATGTACTCTGGGCCCACGATCCCACCCCCCGAAGGCGGTCTGCTCCAGGGCAGCACCACCGCCGAACCTCAGCTTGAACCCTTCCTTCGGCAAACACGTGAAGCTCAACACCTTCCATTAATTTAAGTAAGTCTTTGTTTCATTTGAGTCTTAGTCGCTACCACCTTTTTGAAGGAATTTTCATGTTCTGAGTATTAGCAGGATAAAGTTTCTGCTGAGGATTAGTTGGTTTTTTTCTTTTTTTCCCCGATATTGGCCAAATATCACACTTATGGAAACAGGCTGGAACAGAGGGCTAGTCACTGGGCAGGGTGTTGTTTTGCTGCTGTCTAGGGCATACTCAGATGGTCTAAGTGGCTCTCCTGTATCTCAAAATACATGGAATTTGCTAAACAAACATTTATTCGAGTATAATTTTATAATTAAAAATGAATTACCAGCAGGACACCCACTAATGGGGATATTAAAAGGGAAAAATAAAGAGCTAATCCTAAGCCTACACAAACATTTAGCCACAGTATGTCTGGACCACAAGCACTAAGAAGCGGTACTACAGTAACGGCATTATCTGCTACCATGGATTCCGCAAGACGCTTTATGGACCCTTCGCAGATGAGACAAGAATCCAAAAAAACATAACAAAAAGGCCACAGAAGAGGCTGAGGATGGGTTACACCTCGACTGGGGTTTTTATGCCCAAAATTTCCTTTGTACTACGGCAAACCTTGTACAGCTCCCAGAATATCACAGTGGGAAAGCACAGCTCCCTCTTTGCCCTTCCTCTGGCTCCACCCAGGGGATGCCGCGCAATTCCCTCTTTTCCTCTGTGCCCTTCAACCCAAATGAATGCAACTGTTGGGGTTTTTTTTTCAATACAAACATAGCGAAAACACAATACTCACTTTTCCAGGGGCGCATTCTGTCCCGTCGAGTGGAGGTCCTTTCTTAGTCTTACAGAAATATGGGTTATCTGGATGGCTACACCACAACTGCTTGCACGGGTCAAAGGTTCGGAACTGAAATGCAGAACATTGACGACATGAAACTCAACATTAGATTATTAATACTTTTCAGATAAGGATTCAACCCACCCAGCCAATTCATCTCACGCACATGGCTACCAGTAAGTACAGTCTCTTCAGAAAGAAAAGGGCAAAAGTATCTTCAGAAAGAAAAGGGCAGTGCTTGTTCCCTGCATCCCCTAGTCCTGAGCTGGTGAGAAGAGGAAAGAAGGAGACACCCAGAAGTGGGAGGAAAATGAGGGTTTTTTCCCCTCCTCCTTGGGATCACTACCACAAGTCTGTGTCATGGGGACCGGGCTGCCATCCACTTGACCGTTAAACCAAATGACCCGGATGACTGGGTTTCACCCACAAATCTCTCTCTCCTCTTTATAGATCTGCTTAACTGCTCTTCAATTATGACAAAATGTGTATATTGCAGCTCTTTAATAAAGCCAGACACCAACTTGCTGAATGAACGTTTGTCTTCGCAGTGACTGCCTTGGACATACCGCTGTGCACATTTTATAGCCAACGCCAAAATCAAAGCGGCACTGCTCGTCCATGGAGTAATTGATGCCTGGCAGTTCAGGAAGCTTGGGCCAATCATGTTCGAAAGGGTCGTCAAGAAGACAGTCATAAGAGCTGTGGAAAGATACACAGGAAAAAAATCATGAGAAGATGTAGTGATTTTTTTTTTGATCAGCAAGACCAAAGTACTTATTCTTAGTAAGGCAATACTCTTTTTCTCCAACTTGTTTTCTGTCCTGTGTATGTAGTAATCACTTCCCAAAGCACAGACAGTCTCTTCTGTAGGAGTATTGCCTAGTGCAACGTGACTGAGCGCTGGATGGGAAGATCCTACAGCAAAATCCCTGTATTTGCTGGAGACTGTGGAGAGGCAGCTCCAGTCCTGCCCTGGCGACACGTGTGAAATTTGCACTTTACTCTCCTGTCACCAGAGGTAGAAAGCAAACCCGCCTCCACTCTCAGTGCCCAAGGGCAACATCCCAATGTGCTTCGACCTGGAGTACAATTCCTAACACAAGGGCTAACACAAAGCCCGCTGTAGTCAAGAGGGAGTCTTTCCCCTGGCTTTACGGAGCTTTGAAACAGGACAGGAGTCTGAGAACAGGCCTTCTTGCCTGGCAACTACCGTGCTCACAGGGACGAAGCCCTGCCTATGCAAAGGGCAAGAATAAGGCTTGCTTGTTTCTCATTCCTGTTTAACTCTGATGTGTTAAAACAGCGATGCTGGTGGGCTGCTCCTCCTGCACTTTAAGCTCTAAGGCCTCAATCAATTAGTATTTTATGCCATATGTTACGAATAGGGTTTCTTCTGTAGGAGATGTGGGTCAACTCATTTTCACTCAGTTTTGAGTGGCAAAACCAGCTATTTGCAACGGAGAAGGAAGCCTGAGCGGCAGTTGGATGAAGAGGTACGTACATGGAGGGAGACTAGAGCCAGCAGGGTAGAGATCTGTTCTGCTTTTCTCCCTAATTCAGACATGCGCACATGCGCAGCCTTCTCTCTTCCACAACTTTTGCTAGTTCCTTTTCTGAGTTTAGGGCTTCATCCTGCCAGTTTCACAGCATAACTCCTAGAGAAATCAAAACCCTAGGGACAACACCAGCTACCTGACACGAAGCCTGCCATCCCCCCGAGGATGCCGGGGGCTCTGGGTACAGCCCTGAGCAAGGAATCATAGAATCATTAAGGTTGGAAAAGACCTCTAAGATCATCAAGTCCAACCGTTAACCCAACACCACCATGCCCACTAAACCATGTCCCTAAGCGCCTCATCTACACGTCTTTTAAATACCTGCAGGGACGGTGACTCCACCATTTCCCCGAGCAGCCTGTTCCAAGGCTTGACAACCC